CCAAATGCAGGCAGCATGGGGAGTCCCCTGGCCTTGGAGCAGGGACATCCCCTGCTTGGAAGAAGGATGGCTACAGGGTTTAGCTGGGGTCAGCGGGGGAAGAACCCGCCTGGAGGAGGAGAAGGAGGGATCTGGGTGAGCCACATGCTTCAAGAAAACGTGTTGCGGGGTCTCCCAGACCTGACGCGCTCACAGGGCGCTCCTGTGGCTCAGCTTTTGTGTACGGAACGCTTGTCAGCGGGAAAAGTGCAACCTCAGGTTCTCTCCCACAGGCAGCTCTTTGTTCCCAGATAAAGGACCTTACACCAAAGGCCCTTTGTGCCGCTGCTCAGAACAGTGCTGGGATTAATTGTACCGATAGGTGCTTGAATGGGGAGCACGCAAGGCCACTCACTCCTGGTGTAATTATCTTCAAAACTGAGAAAGAAATTAAAATATGCAGAGATGCCCCCTTTGGTGGCTTTTTGAATAGCAGGCAGTCTCCAAGATTAAAAGTGCATCTCTAAACAATCTAGCTTTCCTTCCAGAGGAGAAAAGCATGGCAGTGAGGGGGAAAAGAGGCACCTGGCACCACTGTTAGCAGCCACCATGGTGGAAGCCAAGCCATGTCCTGGGGCAAATGGCCCAGCCATTGATGGCATCTACAGGAGCTCAGCGTGGGGCAAGGGGCCACATAAGGCTGGTCCAGGCCACTTGCCCCATGCTGAGCTCTTGTAGACATGGTGCTGTGGTGTGCATAGCTCCCAGAGAGCATGGGCACGTTGCAGAACAGGTTCCTCTGTTTGCAGCAAGGCTGCGTGGGTGTCTTTACTAACTCTTCTCCCTTGCCTTCTTCCAGGATGCTCTGGACTTGGATGAGCTGCCTTCTCCTCATCGGGCCAAAGAGCAGGCATCTTATATTGCCAGTGTATCCTGATAAAAGCCATCAGTCCACATATTCTAAGGGGAGAGCGTTCAAAGTGGAGCTTATTGGTGGAGAGGATTGAGTCTTCCCCAGTGGCTTCATCTTGAAAGAATTTTGATATTTCCCCCCCTTTTCTGGCTCAGCCATCGCTGCCGCGCGCGTCTGCCGCTCAACAGCGCGAGACGGGCTCTCTGGGCCTCTTAAGGGGGGAGTTCAAACGTTTTCGCTGGCCTCAGACCATGCATGCCGCATTCCTGAGCCTCAGCACCGGGAGAGAGAGGTCCCCGGCTCCAGATGGGTCCTTGCCAGGGCTTCAAACACCTAGTGAACTGCTGGGACTCTGTGGAGCTGATGGGAGGGCTGCTGGTAGGGGACCACTCATCTTTGCAGCTCAGGGTGTGCTTGGGAGGAGACTTGCCGGTCAGGCAGGAGGCAGCCAGAATGATGCTCACAGCCCTGTCCAAGGAGTAAGAATCTTTCCCTGTCCTGGGATCCCACTCTGCCATGGAACTTCTGCTTCTGTGTGGAGTCAAGCCTGGCTGGCTGCACTTGCTGAGCATAGTTGGGCTCCTTCTCCATACCTTGATTTTGCCCAGATGAAGGTAAGGAGAGGACAACTCCCAGCGCTGCAGACAGTGATAAAGCAAGCCTTAGGGTGACTTCCCAAGCTAGCAAAATTGGGAGCCAATTTCCCGTTGACTAATGGGACCAGGCTCTTGCTGTGGTGTGCGGGATTGAAGTGGCTTTGACTCACTGTTCAGCCAGCCCTGACGCCGTTCACGTCCCTCCACAGCACCTGCAAACCTGAACCGCGCCGGGAAATCACCGGTGACACCTCTCAACGCCCCTCCGGCACTATGGGCCAGAGGAAGAGAGCAGTTGCTTGATCCTGAACCACTGAAGCCCAGTGCTTGGGCTCCCCAGCCCAAGCATGCTCTCTCACGTGCCCTTTCACGAGGGGCCAGTGCTTGGTGTGCCCCAGTGTTTTTGGGAGAGAGGATCAGGTTCAGGGCCAGGCCACTGTGAGAGCTCTGCAGCACCTTTAAGGGCTCAGAGCAGTTTCTGCAACTCAGCTCAGCATGTGCCACCAGCCTCTGGACCGTGCAGCACAGCAGCCCATAGGGCCTTCCACCCATGACCTTCACAATGGCAGGCTGCAGGGGTCTGGGAGGCTCCACTGACCCCACCTGGGTCACTCCCGTGGCTGCAGGAAACCCCCTCTGCCCTCTGTGCTCAGCCTGTTTCCTTTAGCTGAGTTGCTCAGTGAATTTTTTTTTTATTATTATTTCCCCTCCCTGCTCTCTCTGTGTGGTTTACGTGGCTCTCACGCCAACAGCCGGCTTGGCTCTGTCAGTTTTTCTCTCCTCTGCTGGTCAGATGGCAGATGCTGCCAAATTAGGATGCAGGCAGCGAGCCTCCTGTCCAAGCTGAGGTTCTGCCCATGGCCGACACTCAAGGGGAAGGACATTGCTGGAGGGGACAACTGCCATGGCAAGGGCTTCCTACGTGGGGCCTGCTGCTGTGCAGGAGAGTTCCTGCATCCCCTGGACAGGTTTGGGAAGCAAACACCCACCGTGGTCTGGTCAGTCCATGCTATGCTGTGGCTTGCCACAGCATCCTTGTGTCACTCTATTTGCGGGCACACCCTGCCACCCAGATCCCCATCTCCCCAGCCTGACTCACTGCCACAGCTGCTCATCCATCAGCAGCCCCAGCCCTGAGAACGCAGGGCATCCCTTCCCCACTCCTCCTGCAGAAACACCCCCAGCTGGCCCTGCACTGGCTGGACCCACAGGGTCTCTGCCCCGGGAGTTGGCAGTCCTGCACTGTGAGTGCTGAGCACACGCTTGGCTCTGCTCACCGCCAGCGCTGCATGTCTGGGCCCTCAGCACCGCTGTGCCCTTATTAGGGCAGCCAGCACGGGGCCTGTCCCTCACAGAGGTGTGGGCAGCCCCCTCCTGGAACCTGCTCCCCCATCATCTGGCACTGCCTGCCCACCCTGGCAGCCACCCCATGCAGGGGTCTGGGAAGCACAGCAGTGTCTCCTGTGGTCGTGCAAAGCCACACTTGGGATCCTGCCGGGGTTCAGTAACTGATGGTGTGGGAAATTGGAAGGGAGAGAGATGGCGGCTTGCTGTGTCCCCTGGGCAGGTGGTGCCTTGGGACTGAGCAGAAGCTGCCTTATGGGTGCACTGAGCCATTCTGCCCATCCTGTGTCCCAGCCCATCTGCATTACCTGCTTGACAGAGGGCTTCTTCCTTCTCTCCCTGTTTTTGCCAGATGCCCCTGGTTTGTGTTCTTGAGAAACAGCAAATAACCCCTGCCCAGCAACCATCTCTGCATTGGAGTCTGATGTAGATGATGCCCTTCTGCACCTCTACCAATGGGGAGTTGGCACCATGAAGGGTTTTTCTCCCTCTGTCCTCAGTGCCATGCCCACTGCTAGTGCCACCAGGCCACAATGGGACTGTGTTTGTGTTTGCTCTGGGTGAACAGCCTGGGCGAGAAGCAAGCTGGCTGGCCCAGCTGGGAACCTGGCAAGCCACAAGGCAGGTCAGAGAGCCCACGTGTCCCCAGACATGCTTGTTTATCTGTGCCGTGGTGGCACCCACAGCCTCTGCTCCCAGCCTGCCTGTGGGTGCTGGCCTGGGAGCTGCTGGCGGGTCTCGCCGGGGTGGGACGCGGGAAGAAGGTGTTTACCTCCAGTCGGGCTTCATCCGAAACCCTGCGATGCGTGAATGCTTCCTTCCTCCTCCACACTTCCTCCCTGCCTAGGTCAGCCTGGGGTTTTCCTGGAGTGGAAGGAAAGAAGCTGAAACTGCCTCTTGCTGTGGGGCTGAGCCATGGTGCTGGCACGGCTGAGCTGCCCTGGCACGTCCTTGTGCCCCAGCCAGGGAGAGTGAGCAGTTCCCAGCCCGCTGCTGGGTCTAGGAGAGCCGTGGCTGCCTGCCCTTCCTCCTGAGCCCGGGTGGGCTGAGAAGTGGATGGATGGATGGATGGGCAGCCCCTGGAGAGCTGCACAGGATTCCGGATGGGGCCATACTTGTGGCTGGGGAGGGGGATGCCCTCATCAGGGAGGTTTTTTGGCCCTGGTCCTGGGTCCTGCTCGGTGCAGGCAGCAGAGCCCCCCTGAGCACACCAGGGTCTCCAGGCATTTGCACCTCCCTTCCACCACACCCCCCCCAAGGCAAAAGAAGGTCCAGAGGACCCCGGGGTGCTGGGGTGCCTGCTCCCCTCCAAACAGCCCAAGGGCCATCCCTGGAGCAGAGCTCAGAGGGCCAGCAGTTCACAGAGGGGCCGTTGGCCCCTGAGCATGTCAGTGTGCTCTCCTGCTTGTGTTTCACTCCTGGTTTTTGCGCGTGGTGCTCGCGCGGAGCCACGCGGCTCTGCCTGGGATTAGCGACAGCTGCCTGCAATTGCAGCTCTTCCCAGACAAGCGTCTCGCTCCCCCAAGGCTGGGGCTGGGGCTGTTTGGGGAATGCTGCCGGGGTGGTTTGTCTTGTAGTCTGCTCCAGGAATGTTGGCCAGACGGTCAAATTCTTCTCCCCTCTTGTAAAATGAGTGATGTGGGGCGTCTCTGGGAGAGCAGCCTGCCAGTCCCTCCTCCTCTGGATAAACCTGCCTGGCCCGCACCGCCCTGTCATGGGAACGGGCCCTTTCAACCCCAGCCACATTAAATACGCGCCCTGCCAAAGCAGAGGGGGAGGGTGCGGACAGGGGCGCCCGGTCTTCCTCCTTTGGCACCCCTGCACTGCCTGGGGGACACGTTTGGCTGTGCTAGTGGCTGGGGATGGCAGCTTGTCCCCATCTCCCCCTTGCCACCTGGCCAGCTCCTCGTCCTGCCGCTTGCCTCCTCCGGCACAGCTCTCCAGGGACGCCTCGCTCTTCCTGTTCTCTTGACAGGAGAAGAGAAATCTGGAGTCTGTCTGCGCCGCTCCCCCCTCCTCCCACCACGTCTCACCCCCCAAGTTGCTGTTTTCCACAGAAATGTCAGGCTCAGCTCTCCTCTCCCCCACTCCTCCTGGTTTTTTTCCCCTCTAATCTTGGCCTTCATCTCCAATTACTTCTTTTTCTCCTTCCTTTCTCTCCAGAGACCCTGATGGACACAAAGTGGGTGACCTCTGAGTTGGCATGGACAACTCATCCGGAGACAGGGGTAAGTTTAGAAACAGCCCTGGTCCTGACCTCCAAAGGGCAGAGCTGGCCCTGGCCCCATGGGAATCGAGGGCAGAGCTGCCCTGGCCCCATGGGAATCATGGTTGCTCACCAGTGCCTTTGTGAAGCTGGCTGCATCTTTCTCCTTTCCTCCTGTGCATATCCGCGCCTTGTGAAACCATCTCCTCTTGACTCCATGCCGGTGGAGTGGGAGTGTCATGGTCCCTGGCCTGGGTTGCTCTTAGTCAACATGATGACCAGGAGGGTTGTGACAGGTGAAGGTGTAGCTGCTGCTCTTCCCTGTTGACTGTTGCCTGTTCCCCCCCACCCTGTGCCATTCACGATGTGTCTGTAGCACTGCTGTCCCTGGCTGGGGATCTAACCCTTTCCCTCTCAATCACAGTGGGAAGAAGTCAGTGGTTATGACGAGGCCATGAACCCTATCCGCACGTACCAGGTCTGCAACGTACGGGAGGCCAACCAGAACAACTGGCTTCGTACCAAATTCATCCAGCGCCAGGACGTCCAGCGCGTCTACGTGGAGCTGAAGTTCACTGTGCGGGACTGCAACAGCATTCCCAACATCCCTGGCTCCTGTAAAGAGACCTTCAACCTCTTCTATTATGAGTCAGATACGGATTCTGCCTCTGCAAACAGCCCTTTCTGGATGGAGAACCCCTATATCAAAGTGGATACAATTGCCCCAGATGAGAGCTTCTCCAAGCTGGAGTCTGGCCGTGTGAACACCAAGGTGCGCAGCTTTGGCCCTCTCTCCAAGAATGGTTTTTACCTTGCCTTCCAAGACCTGGGAGCCTGCATGTCCCTCATCTCCGTCCGGGCTTTCTACAAGAAATGCTCCAACACCATTGCTGGCTTTGCTATCTTCCCGGAGACTCTAACGGGGGCCGAGCCCACTTCCCTGGTCATCGCGCCGGGCACCTGCATCCCCAATGCAGTGGAGGTGTCTGTGCCCCTCAAGCTGTACTGCAACGGCGACGGCGAGTGGATGGTACCCGTGGGAGCATGCACGTGTGCTGCTGGATATGAGCCCACCATGAAGGATACCCAGTGCCAAGGTATGTGCATGGCAGAGTGATCGTGGCTTTTGTCCCCATGGATGCGTTGATGTGAAGGAGGTGATTTTGCATTGAGCTCGGTCTGGTTTTGGAGGCTTTTCTCTGATGAGTGAGCAGGATGAAATCTCAGAGGACAGGTCTGCAGTTTGACTCCAAAGCCTTAAAACCTTTGTGGTTTGGATTCATGCAGTGTCTGCTGGAACACACTGGTGAGCAACCACCAGTGCTACCCTCTGTGGGATGCATCTCCTTGCACAGAGCTGCAGCTCAAGGCATGGTCCTCAGCAGGGATCCAGCACATTTAAGCCCTTGAGCATTACCAAAACCTCTCTCTCATCGCTGCTGTCGTATCCAGCGTCTTTCCTCTCTCCCTCCTGCAGTGCTCGTGGCTGGGGCGAGTGATTGTTCTTGGCAAGTGTGATTTCACGCTGCTTGTGCGGAGGCTTGTTCAGAAGCCCTGGTGGTGAGCAGGGCTCCCCTGTGGGAGAAGCCATGCTGATGCATGCTCCCCCTGCCAGTGCTGAAAGCTTGCAGCAGGGATGGTAGGGACCAGCACGAAGGCAGGGGATCTGAAGCTCCTTGTTCTTGCTGGAAGGGAAGGAACATATCCTGCACATGGAGATGTTGGGGATGGAGAGCTGCCCCAGCAGCAGGATACCTCTGTGTGGGTCCTGCAGCTGCCATGCTCTCCCACGATAGCTTTGGTGTTGCTGGTTAACCCCAGTTCGGGTGTGTTGATAAGGAAAAATCTGTCTGGATGAATGTTGCATTCCCTTGGGGTGATTTTTTTCTTGTGAGCTGTCTCTGGCAAGGAGGACCCTGCCCTGGGGTGGCTGGGGTTTAGGGCAGAAAGGTTGCCGTTCCCCTTGGCTGCAGGCGTTGTACAGGGAGCGGGATGCTGGCGGGGCCCCCAGCCCTGGATGCCTTGTGCTGGCCGATGATGGGATGCTTGGCGCCAGCCCTTTGCTCTTGGCAGGGGCTGTGTGATTTGGGATGGCCTGTGACGTGGGGCTCGGGCCAGGGTGGCCTCCCCGCTGGCTTTGGGAGCAGGGTAGCTGACAGCTGTGCTGCTGTGGCTGGGTAGGGAGAGGTCAGTCTCCACAGGGCCGCAGCTCTGCCAGGGATCCAGAGCCTCAAGCACCATCTGTGCCAGCACAGCTCTGACTTCAGTGCCACAGCCCCCTGCATCAGTCAGTCTGGCTCCTCCTGAGCTAATGGACACCAGTGTCAGGCATCCATCCACACTTTAAACTGCACTGAGGTCCATGCTCCTGGGTAGGTGCTTTCCTTCTTGCTTGGACTGGGGGATCTTAGACCATACACGATGTTGGCTCTTTCCCAGCAGAGAGTGGGGTTTGGACACAAGGTGACAGTTTCCAGCCAGAACCGGGCATGTGCTGAGAGGGGGCGTCCCAAGGCAGGACAGAGCTCCTCAGATTAGGCTCAGGAGCCTGGGGCAAGGTCCCATCTCCACATCCCCAAGCTGGACAGACCCCCATGTGGCAGCTTTCCCAGCGCCTTTGATTTCCCACCAAGCCCCAGCTTCTGCTGCAGCAGGCAGGGAAGCCACGCTGGGCCACGGGCACATCTCCATCCGGCAGCCTGCCTCCTCGCTGGGCAGGAGCAGCGGTGTCCTCACGTTTCTCTGGGAAAGTTGCACTGCGCTTGCAGGATCAGATTTTCCGCCATATGATCGTGTGTTTTAAGTGGAAACAGCTGAAGAAGGGCTGGGAGAAGCTGGAGCTGCAGCTCCTTTTCTCCTCTTGGCTGGATGTTCCCTTACCCCATTTCCACACTCCAGCACCCCCAAGAAGTCTCAGAGCTGATGTCGTGGGCAGAGGTGTGGTGCAGCCCCCCAAAGCTGGGGTTTCATCACTCCTGCCCCAGGGAGCCTGCAGGGGCTTCACCGTGCCGGCGAGCAGCGCTCCAGAGTGCCAGATGGCATTTTAATAAATAACAATACCCAGTTACTGCTTAGATGGGATAAGCCCTGTTGTAAATCTCCCCCTTTTCCCAGACTTTCAGTGGCCTTTGAAGACCTCCTCCTCCTCCTCCTCCTCTTTATCTCCATCCAAGCCAAGATTAGAGCTCACATTCAGACCTGTTACAATGCAGCTTGTATCCCAGTCCCTCGGGAGCAGAGGGCTCATCCTGCCCGACTGAAGACAGTTTCTTTGGCATGCTTTGTAAGGCGATCCGCCAGGCTGGTACCTGGCGCTCTACTCCTGAGTTGCCACAGCATTGATTTGGCATCTCATTCTCAGCCTCATTATCTTTATTTAATTAGCACACGGCCCTTCTGGGGGTTGTGCCGCTTCCCACACACTCCCTGCCACGCAGAGCTGCAGAGGCAGCTCTTGGAGGACAAGAAGGAGCTGCTGGCCAGGGAGGGGAGCAAAGGCTCCTGCATGCCTCCATGGGCTGGGGTGCACTGCACTCGCACCCCACGCCCTGCAGCCCCTGGGGTTTAGCTTTTCCCCAGCCCCATCCCTTCTCCTTTTCATTAGGAGGCACCCAAACAGTTCAAGGGATTTGGTGTCAAGGGGCTCCTCAAAAATGCTCCTGGGCATGTGCTACATGATGGATTTGTTGGGATTTGCACCCCTTGTGTTGCTGGCTTCACACAAAGGCAGAAAGGCTGCTGTGCTGGGGTGGGCAATGAGCCCCCTCCTTGCAGGTCCCCTCTGCTTGGGAGGAGGACCACAGAGCCCCCAGAGCCTCCACCCTGCCTGGGAGGGGAGCTGAGTCTGTGTGGCGCAGTCCATGGATACCCAAACTGTAGGATCACTGGGGGTGACAGTGTCCAGCATGACACCACACCTTCCTGAGACCCCTTTCTCAGTCTTCTTGATGTTTCTTCTCTCGAGGCACCAAGCACTAAACATTTAGGCACAATCAGTAGGTGAGCACAGGTCAAGCTGGGGCCAAAATCAGAATTTTTGCAAAAATAAATTTCCCTTGCAATCAGTGACTAATGAAAACATCACCCTGAATTAAATAAAAAAAAAATTGCCAAGCAAGCATTGCACTTGCCAACTGTTTGCAGCTTTGCATTGCAACATGGGCTTGCTGCATGAAACCCAGGAAGTGAAACTGCCTGGGATTAATTGCCCGGGATTCCAGATCAAAGGCAGCAGCAGGGAATGCAGGGAGAGCTGCCGGTTTACAGCCAGGCAGCTCCACAATGGGTTACTTGTAACACAGTCGAGGAAATCTGCCCCTGCCGTCCTGCCTGTGACCCACTGTGGCTCAAGAGGCAGCTTTGCTTATTGAATTTTTTTTTCTTTTCTTAAAAAAAAAAAAAAAAAAAAAAAAAAAAAAAAAAAAAAAAATTGTTTTCCTGCCTGTTCCTTGGATGCCACTTCAAACCCCCAAAGGCTCTCTCCCTTCTCCTCTCCCTTCAGATTTACTCCATTCGCTTTTGGACTACGCTAGTGTGAAATATTTTCACCCAAAGGGTGATTATTTTACTTTATTTTAAATAACTGCCTTTTAAGAGAGACTTAAAAACAGAGTTACCGCCTCGGCTGTAGCCAGGCTGTTGCTTCCACAGCTCTGCTCCATCTGTAGCCACTTACGACAGCGAGAAGGGAGCGAGCTGTGCAGGTTCATAAAGCACAGATCGTCCCGAACAAACCTGACTGCTGCCTCTAAAGAAATTACAGGGTTGATGGGCAAAGGGATATGATCAGTTTAATTTATCTAGGCTCAGGCGAGGCGTCCTGCTTCAATCCTACAGGGAGAGAAATAGCTGGAAGGATGCTGGAATATTGTAGTGTGAATGGGAAGCAGTCAGAACATGAAACATGGTAGTTTGGGGCTGTTTTTTTCCAGTGTGTCATGGCTATCCCTGCCTTCCCCAGGGGAGGGGACCCCACAGTTTTGGGGATGCACGCATGGTTCATTGCTGCTTGCCTGCATCCCATGCAATAATGGAGGCTGCCTACGGGATGAGTCACTGCTCTCTGCTGTTGGCAGAAGGGTTTTATTTCGGTGTTTTTTTCAGCTCCCTTCCTTGAACTTTATTCACCACGGTGGAGATTGTATTTGGGAGCAGTACCCTGCTCTTCCCCCAGCTCTGTGCTGCAGCTTTTTGAGACAGGATCAGGCCCTGGAGGAGGGTGGCTGATGAAAATCCTGGAGGGGCTGCCAGAACTGGACGGCCACCTTTGCCATGCCGGGAGTGCAATGCCCCATAGGGGGTGTAGGGGCAGCTTTACAGCAGGGCTCTGTTACTGTCCTCCTCCCTCCCACGCCCCACACAAATCCCCTCTGTGGCTGATCCCCGCTGTCAGGCCAGACTGCCTCTCCCTGCCATCAAACCAGCGGCTCCTCTCCGCTTCGGTTCCCTGACCTGTTATCCTGTGGCTGTCACTGACTGTCATGTTCTCCCCAGAAGTGACCGCAGCACAGCACCAGGAGATGTGATCTGTGTGCAGAGGTTCAGAGTTGTTATTTTATTTGAGGACACTTCAGCAGGAAAAGTGCTTATGCAAAGCTCTCGGCAGGGAGAAGGGAGCCTGGCTTCCCAGCTCCGGCTGGATGGAGTCACGTTCCCACTCCAGAGCTCCCAGGCTCCCAGGCTCGTTCCGCAGCGTGCCGGCCAAGACAGTGGTTGTTGTACAGGCAGTTTCTTGCAGAGAAGAGATGACACAGCGGCTTATCCACCAGGGACCTGGGATCAGCTTTCAGCTCGGTTACAGCCTTCAAATGTGGCGGCTGAGAGCTGTCACACTGCCACCGAGGTCTTTATGCTCTGATTTATTAAGCAGAGTTGGAAATCTACACAGTGGAGCGCATCTGGGCCTCGGTCCCTCTGCTGCTCTTCCCTTTCTTAACAGGGCTGGTTCATGGCTCATCCCCCTCCTGCCAGGATGGCATAAGGATGCAAAGAAAAGGCCTTCATCCCTTGTGCCTGCACTGGGCACTACTTAGGGGTGGCAGGGAGCTGCTGAAGGACAGCTCTGCCTGTCCCTTCCTCCTGTGTCTGGGAGGCCACTGTCACCTCTGTGCCCGTAACCCACTGGGCACCGGCTGGCACTTCATGTGCTGAGACCAAATGCCCTCTGCATCCTTTGCAAGCCCCTGGCTGTCCTTGGCTGCCATGCCATGCTTGGGCTGTCAGCTTCACACAAGCTCTGGTTGCTCCGGCTTCACTCTCCCCCCAACAAGCCTGTTCAGGGGGTTTTGTCCCTGATGGATCTGGGCTCCTCTCCATAACCAAAGCATGTTTGGCAGCTTTCTGAGCCCAGAGCGTTCCTGTCCAAGAGGTTTCAGTCATCTCTCATTCCTCAACAATCTGGTTCCTTATGTGAGAATCTGCATCCACCCAGTTTGAACCGCCCGGGACTCCAGCCGGGTGTGTCTGCCTATGCCAAGGCTTCTCTGCGACCTCTGGGCCTCTGCTGTCCACATAAAAACACATTTTCTAGTGGCCTGGCTGTCCCAGGCTGGGGACACAGAAGCCCTGGACCTGCTGGCTTCCCATTGCTTGCCAAGGAGCAGATCTGTGCACTGCTTTGCCTTCCAGCCTGCACAGTCGGGACGGGCAAAGCTTTCATTTCCAAAGGGAAGGCCCAGAGGCTGGGTGAACTCAGGTCAAGGAGCTGGAGTTGGTTGAGCCATGTAGTCAGTCCTGTTTTGACCAAAGAAGAGTCTCACTGCTGGAAGGCTCACACCCTGGCAGCAGGAAGCAGCTCCTGACACCCATGCAGGCAGAGGGGTGGGAGAGCAGGCAGTTGTCTCTGCAAGGGCTGCTCTCACATCCCCCTGGCCAGCAGCACTGCACAGGAGTGGGGCTTCTCCCTTGGGGTTGCTGTTGCTTGGTGCCTGGACAAACCCAGGACAGCACCTGGAGCTGTGTGTGGGTCCCTGCGGGGCCGGCTTGGCAGCGTGTGACTCACAGCACTCCACGCCCCATGTGGGGCTGCAACTAGCCGGAAAACTTCCACAGAGGGTGTCGGGAGATGCCTCATAGCAGGAAACTTCCACTTGCCAGAGCCTGGTGAAGCACCAGGAAACCTCCTCCTGTTTTCAGGATGATGTATGGCTGGCGTGGGAGGGTTACCTGCCCTGGGAGCTTCCCTAACGTGGTGGAGCGAGGAGGACGTGCCCTCCTTCGGGGCCGTCAGTGCTGATGCTGCCCCAGCTGTGGCAAACAGGGTGAGGGTGATGCTGAAGCAGAGCCGGCGCCAGTGGGTCTCTCACCTCATCCGGCTGCAAACACAGAGCACAGAATCCGCTTCCATGGGCAGCAGTGTGATAAATCAGGCTATTTCGAGGTGTGGGTCAGGTTCCCGAGGCTGCTCTGCTCCTCGGCTCAAGTGCTGTTAAACCTTTCACGTGCCCCTCATTACAAATAAACACCTTGTGATGCCAATGGGGCCGTATCCCAGGACTCGTGGCTCCTTGAAGGACCCTGATCGGAAGCGGAGGAGGGAGGTGGCAGTGATGCTGAAGCAGCTCTTCAGCCAAGGACCTGCAGGAATGTTTTCATCTCGCTCAGCGCTCCACTTGAGCCGACCTCATGAGGTGCCGCCGCCCCGGGACTGAGAAGTGGCTCAAGAGCCTGAGGCGGAAGGTTTGGGGCTGAGTGGCTGATTTTGGGTGGTGGAGGCCTCTAGCAGGGACTGCTGCAGACAGGGCTGTAGAGGAATTCTTTCCTTCCCAGTCCTATTTCCCCAGAGGATGGACCTGGCACTTTGAAGGTTGCCAGGTCTAGAAAACAGCATGCCCTTCCTCCATGGAAGGGAGCATGGTAATACCCTTGAGAAGGGCAGTGAAGAAACATAACTGAGGAATGGAGCTCTGGATGGGTCTGCTCTGCCCCCCATACTGCTGGTGGTGACCAACTCTTCCCACCTCCAATTACCTCGGACCTGCTGCTGGAGCCCAGCATTTCCTGGCAGAGCTGTGCCTGAGCCATCTCGTGCTTCCAGCAGCCCACTCTTCTCACCCTCCCTAGCCGTGAGTCCCTGGGCATGGCTGATGGCAGTGGAAAGGCTTGTAGGAGGCCTGAGGTCTTCAAGCCACTGATCAAAGATTTGGCAGGGCAGCGAGGAAGAGTATGCTATGGTGGGAGCAGTGAATGTTTTCTGGGTTCACTTTATAACCCAGGTCTGGTTTTCTTTCCTCCAGCGTGCGGCCCAGGAACCTTCAAATCTAAGCAGGGGGAAGGTCCCTGCTCTCCCTGCCCTCCCAATAGCCGGACCACCTCTGGAGCAGCAATGGTCTGCACTTGTCGAAACGGCTTTTTCCGGGCAGACACGGACCCCGCAGACAGCGCCTGCACCAGTGAGTCCTGCTCTGGGCAGGGAGGGGAGCAAGGGAAGCTGTGGAGGTGATGGGGGTTTGTGTCTGGGATGGGGGTATGTGCTGTGCCCATGCCAGGGCGGAGCTGGACATGAAGACACCCACATTTCCCTGCAGGTGTCCCCTCAGCCCCCCGCAATGTCATCTCCAACGTGAACGAGACGTCGCTGGTGCTGGAGTGGAGCGAGCCGCAGGACACGGGCGGGAGGGACGACCTGCTCTACAACGTCATCTGCAAGAAATGCAGCGTGGAGCGGCGCCTGTGCACCCGCTGCGACGACAACGTGGAGTTCGTGCCGCGCCAGCTCGGCCTCACTGAGCGACGCATCTACATCAGCAACCTGATGGCCCACACCCAGTACACCTTCGAGATCCAGGCCGTGAACGGCATCTCCAACAAGAGTCCCTACCCTCCCCATTTTGCCTCTGTCAACATCACCACCAACCAGGCAGGTCAGTGGAGCCACCAGGGAGCAGGGGCTGTATCTTCTCCACAGAGCAGAGTGGAGCAGAGATTTCTTTCTGACAGCCTGGGAGGCTGCAATCCTTTGTGGTGCCGCCTAACTGGCTCTCTGGGCCTGCATCTAATCCCCTGGGTAAACTCTCCTCTCTGTTTAAAGCATGTCCCTAGAGGAGATGAGATCAAAATGCATGCAAGTGGAGAAGACTAGGGCTGGCAGATGCTCCAGAGAGCTCTGGATCTTCTAGACCTACCCCAGAGATGCTGTGCCTGCTGCGAGGGGAGGAGAAAGGAAATGAGATTTCTCCCCTGTGTGCCTGGGAAGGCTCAGCACCAGCCCAAGCCTTAGCAGGCAGCCAAGTGCTCTGCTATTCCCTCCTTCCTCCTGCTCTGGCCCCGCTCCAGCGTGCTGGTAATCTCCAGCCACTGCGCACTGATCTGATTTCACGGGTCTTGCTGCTGGGGTGGAGCACAGAGCTTCTGGCAAATGGAGGAGGGGAGGGAGCCCCAGTTTGGGTTGGCAGGGCCCTTCCCCAGACCAGTCTGCAGCTAGGCATGGGGTGAAGCATGACTTCAGTGCTATTTCTGAGGCTCCCCTTGGTGCTGAGATCACACCTCCTTATGGAGACTTGGGGGAGGCCATGAGTCTCAAAGCTTTTCCATGCCTTTCCACCAAGATTATCCAAGCAGGTCACAAGCAGAGCATTCCCTACACTGTGTGGGATGGTGGAGGGGGAAACCTGGTGCAGGTGGCTCATTCCTTCCCTGCCCTCCTTCCTAGCCCCATCTGCCGTACCGACGATGCACCTGCACAGCAGCACCGGGAACAGCATGACGCTGTCATGGACTCCCCCAGAGAGACCCAACGGCATCATTCTGGACTATGAGATCAAGTACTCGGAGAAGGTAAAGCAGGAACAGCCTTTTCCCTCCTCCAGCCCTTTCAGTTGGCCATCAGCACCATGGCATAGGGGGTCCCTGCAAACCTGGCTCCTGGGGGATGTGGGAGCCAGCAGATAGAGGGTGGCTTCACAGAGGTGACACCCACGTCTTCCCTACAGCAAGGCCAGAGTGATGGCATCGCCAACACAGTCACCAGCCAGAAGAACTCGGTGCGGCTGGACGGGCTGAAGGCCAACGCTCGGTACATGGTGCAGGTGCGGGCGCGCACCGTGGCAGGGTACGGCCGCTACAGCCTCCCCACGGAGTTCCAGACCACTGCCGAGGGCGGTAGGTACCAGTACTGGGCTGCCTCCATCGCCCAGCCCCTCCCATGCCTGCTCCTTTCCCAGCTTGACCTCGATTCCTGCCTGTCCCTCCATCAGGTTCCACCAGCAAGACTTTCCAGGAGCTGCCTCTGATCGTGGGTTCGGCCACTGCAGGGCTGGTGTTCGTCATCGTGGTGGTGGTGATTGCCATCGTCTGCTTCAGGTACTGGCTTTTCAGGGAAGAGGGCTTCACATCTGGGTTTGGGGGTCGCTCATGTCTGCCACAGAGCTTTCTCCCCCTTCACCTGTGGGCAGAGCTCTGGCAGCTCCAGTCACAGAGTGAAGGACTGCACCAGCCACACATGGGTCCCAGAGCAGAGGTCTTGTGGGAGGATTGTGCTTCTGCTTCCCCAGTACGAGCTGTGCTCTGCCCAGGCTCCTGCCATGCACTCAGCACAACTAGGCCATCTCCTCCCATCGCACCTCGGGTGGAGGGATAGCTCTGTGCACGGGCTGCCAGAGGGAAGGCTCTCTGGCAGAGGCTGTCTGTGCTGGGATTTGGAAGTTGGCAGTGAATGTCTTTGCCCCATCAGGAAAGGGATGGTTACTGAACACCTCCTCTCGTCTCCTTTGGGCAGGAAGCAGCGCAACAACACCGACCCTGAGTACACAGAGAAGCTGCAGCAATATGGTGAGTGTGAGAGCCCAGCAAATGGACTCCAGCTGCCCTCTCCCAATTCCTGTCCCATGCAAAGGGGCAGCCTTTTCTAACAAGGGGTGGGCTGACAGCCAGCCAAGTGGCTTGACATCTGTCACCCTTGCTGTGTCCCTCCTGGTGATGGCTTCTGCCCTTGCAGTTACCCCTGGGATGAAGGTGTACATTGACCCTTTCACCTACGAGGACCCAAACGAAGCTGTCCGGGAATTCGCCAAAGAGATTGACATCTCCTGTGTGAAAATTGAGGAGGTCATTGGAGCAGGCAAGTCCTGGGGCTGGGCACAGCAGATGCTGAGACTGCTGCCTCTCACCCTGTCCTGTGGCTCACCGTGCTGCTCCCCTCTGTCCTTCCCACTACAGGGGAGTTTGGAGAGGTGTGCCGTGGGCGCCTGAAGCTGCCTGGCCGCCGCGAGATCTTCGTGGCCATCAAGACACTGAAGGTGGGCTACACAGAGCGGCAGCGGCGGGACTTCCTGAGCGAGGCCAGCATCATGGGCCAGTTCGACCACCCCAACATCATCCACCTAGAGGGGGTGGTGACCAAGAGCCGCCCCGTCATGATCATCACAGAATTCATGGAGAACTGTGCGCTTGACTCCTTCCTCCGGGTGAGCATCCATCCCCTCCTGCCCTGGGCTTGGGGTGCAGTGCATGGGGGGAGCAGCAGCTCTGAGCCCTTCTCCATCTCTCTACATTGTGATGCTGGTGTCCCAGGGTTAAGCTCTGAGTGGGAGAAGAGGGAGGAGGAAGGTGATGGTGGTAGCACATTGGGATCCTTCCTCAATCTGTTCAGGGTGTTGCAAACCCCTCTGATCTCTCCTCTGGCAGTTGAATGATGGGCAGTTCACAGTCATCCAGCTGGTGGGAATGATGCGAGGCATCGCCGCTGGCATGAAATACCTTTCGGAGATGAACTATGTGCATCGGGATCTGGCTGCCCGCAACATCCTGGTCAACAGCAACTTGGTCTGCAAAGTGTCTGACTTCGGGCTCTCTCGCTTCCTGGAGGATGACCCAGCTGACCCCACCTACACCAGCTCCCTGGTACGGGACACTCACGAGGGATCTGGGATCTGGGGGTGGGGGGAGACACCTCAGGTATGCACTAATCATGGAGCTGTGTATCCATGCAGGGAGGCAAGATCCCAATCAGATGGACAGCTCCTGAGGCCATCGCCTACCGCAAATTCACTTCAGCCAGCGACGTGTGGAGCTACGGCATTGTCATGTGGGAAGTGATGTCCTACGGGGAGCGACCTTACTGGGACATGTCCAACCAGGATGTGAGTGCTCTCTGGGGAGCAGGGAACCGGGAGCTGTAGGCTGCCTGTGGGAGCCCAGGTGGCTCACAACCTGCCTCTGCCTGTCTTTCTGCAGGTGATCAATGCTGTGGAGCAGGATTACCGCCTGCCACCCCCCATGGACTGCCCCACTGCACTGCACCAGCTGATGCTGGACTGCTGGGTGCGGGACCGCAACCTGAGGCCCAAATTTGCACAGATTGTCAACACGCTGGACAAGCTCATCCGCAATGCTGCCAGCCTGAAGGTCATCGCCAGCGTGCAGTCTGGGTCAGTGACATCCTTGTTTCCAGCCAGCACATACCCCAATTCCAGGGAACACTGGAGTGGTTGGGAATAGAGCTGTGGGAGGGAGGGGATAAGAATGGGGATCCCTTGCTTCCAGTTACACCTCTCTGTGCCCTGCTCCTTGTGACCTGCGGCTCTCTTGCCCTTTAGCATCTCCCAGCCGCTCTTGGACCGCACTGTCCCAGATTACACCACCTTCACCACCGTGGGAGACTGGCTGGATGCCATCAAAATGGGACGGTACAAGGAGAACTTTGTCAATGCTGGGTTTGCCTCCTTCGACCTGGTGGCACAGATGACTGCAGAGTAAGTGCCTGCTTGGAGGGGAGGAGGGAGCAAACTGGGACTGGTGCTGCTACACACTCTCCCTTGCCTATCTGACAGCCACCTCGTCCCACCTGGGTGCAAGTGGCCTGAATTAAGGCCTGGGATTCAGCATCCAATCCCAAGGGAGTTCAGGTTTAGGATTCAGCTTCCGGTTCCCTCTGGTGTTAAAGGGAGCACTGGAGCTTGGCAGAGGGCTGTAATGATAGATAGATCCATTGCCCCAGTGGGGCAGGGCCACATGTTGATGTTGCTCATGGCTGGGGGCTGAGTCGTCACCTTTTCCTTGCAGGGACCTGCTGAGGATAGGGGTGACGCTAGCAGGGCACCAGAAGAAGATCCTGAGCAGCATTCAGGACATGAGGCTGCAGATGAACCAGACGCTCCCAGTGCAGGTTTGACCACAGGGGACTCTGCATTGGAACGGACCAAGGGAACCTGCCATAAAGGTTCAGTTTGCGGTGCAGCCCAGCTTCCTGTTTTCCCCTCCACACGGCGCTCCTCTGCCTCGGACGGTCGCCTGGGACGGGATGGGACGGGACGCCCTTCCCTGGATCGAAGGCACTCATGCTGAGGGAGCCCAGCTTTTCGTCCCTTGTCCTGGAATGGCGAGGCAGCAACACATCTTCATATTGAAGATGGATTATGGGACAGAGATGGCACATCCCACTTCCCACCCTGTCTTGGTGCTCATCAGTTTGAAGAGTTGTTCTGCTTCTTGGATTTCTTTTCACCCTGTTTTCCCCCAAATCCTCACTTCCCTCACCCCCCCGAGGCCACAGACTGTTGACCCGTCCGCCGAGTCTGTCAGACATGTCCGAAGCCTTCCCTAACTCTGTTCCCCACATGGAAGCAGCCAGGGGAGGCCGAGCCAGCGACAGGGCTGGGGCCACCAGCCCCAGACAATCACTCCTCTTCTCCAGCCCTGGCAAGCCCTCCGCCCAAGGGTCTGCACTGGAACATGTCCGAAGGGAAGGCTTCGCTCCCTTTCTTGGCTTTGCACGCCAGAACCTGAACCCGATTTACTATGCAGGGAGTTAGGCAAAAAAAAAAAAAAAACCAAAAGAAAAAAGAAAAAAAAAGAGATATATTAAAAGAAGATAAGAGGGAGCAGAAAGGGGAGGGAGGGGGACCAGGTGCCCGGCTCCTCATCTCTTACCCTCTTGGTTCTCCTGGCCGGCTCTGGACTGCAGAGCGAGGCCATCAGCACGTTTGCACAGGGACCCTCCGCCCCCGGACCGACGGACGGCAGCCGTGCTCCCCCGAGGGCCGGAGAGCGGGGCTGGGGCGGGGGCTGCGCCGGGGGCCACGCCTCCCCCAGCCTCCTCTTTTATGCAGAAGGAGCAGGTGCCGCCCGCTCCTGACACACGCTGTGATTGCTGCCAAAAGACTCACTCACCTTTCCCTGAGGATTCACTGCAGCCCGGTTCCTCCGAGCCGAGGGAGAGACTCCCAGCGTGCCTGAGTGTGCGTGAGTGTGTGCATGCGTGCGTGGGTGTGTGCTGGCCGCAGGACTGTGGGAGGCAATGGGCAGAATAAAGGCAATAAGAATTTTACCCGAGTTTCCTTTGCTCGATCGCGCTCTCATTGGATGGGCCCGGCTGCCTGCAGCTTCGCTGCCCACCAGGGTCATCCTTCTCTTCCTCCTGGCCGACCCCAAGCTGGCTGTGTGCCCCTTTCTGCTCTCCCCTTCTCTTGCTGTCATGTTTTCAGGTTGTCCGACAGGGACCAGGCAGTGATCCTGTACCAACCCTGTGGTGCTGGGAGACACAGCACGCTCCCCATGAGGCACATGGTGGAGGCTCTGAGTCCCAGGTCAGAGCCAGTCAGGAAACTCTTAATGTACTAGAAATACTCAGCATTTTTCCCCCCCTACCCTCCTCAAGTCAAGCTGGAACTGTGGGAAGCAAACAGGGAATGTGAAAGCCAAGCAGGGAACAGCCATGCCCGCTGCTCATCCAATGCCAGAGGGTCCCCACAGCTCCGGGGCTTCTCCATAGGGCACTGCTCCTCCCCTGCCTCCCTCTGGGCAGCCTGCCCTCAGCAGGAGGGTTGCAGCAGCCCCTGGCACCCCTGGATTATGGCCTCACTCCTCCTCTACAAAATGGCTTTTAAGCAGGGTTGAGCTCACCAGGGTGAACGGAGCAGCTGCAGGTGGCAAGGTGACCCCCTGGGAGAGCAATCTGGGGGGGCCATGCCCTCAGTCTAGGGGAGATTTGTCGACAGTGGCCAAGTGGAACCCCAGTTGCTCATCCTGGGTTTCTCAGGTCCTCCTTGGCTGCACTACCTTGATAACTGGCTTTTGGGGTGCTTTTCTGGCAGTCCAGAAGGGCAAGTGGTCTCTCCCCAAAATGAGGGGGTGCACCCCTATGCTCCCCAGTGCTTGGCCCCGATCCCCCCCTCCCCGGGCTGACACGGCAGGTGCTGTTTTTTCCCTTCCCTTGGAACAGGCCTTGGGTTTCTCATTAACCCCGTCCTCCTCCACAGGTAAACAAGTCCAGGAGCGCAGGTGGCAGCCGGAATGGTCTCCCCACATCCCACCATCTCTGGGATGTTGGCAGACAGGGACACCACGGCCCCATTTTGCTGGGGTTTCCCATCCTGGCTTGCTCCCTACCCTGGCTGCTCCCCAGCCCCACTATGGTGGGACCCCAAACAGCAGCACTGGGCAGACCTCACCCCTCTCCCAGATCAGGAGAAGAAACCTGGCATTGAGAGGCTTTTAAGATCAAGTGGCTGAAGAGATATGAGAGCCTGTTTGGGGCTTTCTAACCACCCACAGCCCCCCCATGCAGAAGCACAAAGGGGCACAGGGGCTGCCCTTGCCTCCCTTGCCCCTCAGCCCCTCCTGCTGCAAAGTTTGGGGTCCCACCAGTCCTGGTGCATCTCAAACATCCCCATCTCAGTCCCCCATCCTGGCCTGGCTTTGCTTTGAGGAGGGGTTGTTCTCATTTTAAAAAGAAACCCCTTCTCCCACCCTTCTCTATGCACACCCTGCTCCCATGGGGCAGGACACACCATCCCTGCAGCCAGCCCTGGGTCTCGCCCCAGCCACAGGGGTGCACCCAGCAGCTCTCCACATCCTGTACCTGCCTCCTCCCTTTCCATACAGATCTGGGGGAAAGCTGTGTTCCATGGGGAAAGAAAAGCAACAGCGAAAAACAGCAGCCAGGGAAATCAATGCGAGCGTGCGTTTGTAAAAATATTTTTTAACGGAAAGACTTTTTTTCAATTAAATTATTTAAGGAATTTTATGGAGGTCTGTGGTGCCTGCGTGGTTCTTGGGGGGCTCTGGGTGGCAAGGAGCCCTGTGCTGGGCAGGTGAGGGTGTGTTTGGGCACTGTGTGTGTAAAAGTGGGTCTGTGGCAGTGAGCAGGAGCCACTTGACCCCACGGGGGTGCAAACCCAGTCCAATTCCCACCCTAAAGATGCTCCCTGCCTCCTCCTGGAGCAGCCAATGGGTGAGGACATTTTGAGGGGCCGAGTGGACCAGATGATGCTCCCAGGGCCGCCAGCCCTCGGGTGCCACTGCAGGAACATCCTGGGGCCATGGGAGCAGCGTGGGGTGGCCCTTGGGGACCGTGGTGGCCAGGCTGGGCTGGGGGCACGGCAAGCCCTGCCTGCACCCTGCCTGGGCTCTGCCTGCGCCCTGCGCTTCCCCCCTCCCAGCCCATGCAAAAGAGCCTTTTGTGCTGCTGGGTTTTTTCCCCCCTTTTAATTCCTAACCAGGAGATTAAGGGAAGACAAAGGCTGCGATTGTTCCCGCTCTGCAGAGAGCTGGAAAGTTCGGGGAGGGGGGATCGTCCCTTTCCAGACAGACCCAGAGGAGGGGGACATACGCCCCAGGTGGAGGGGCCGGGATGGGGGGAACACCCTGGGAGCGGCGGCGGAGGGTCCCGGGGCACAGCTGGGATGAGGGCACACCGAGTGCTAAGGGGGATCCCTGCTGGGGTGGCCCGGAGGCTCCGGGCTCCAGCGGGAGGGTGGGAGGCTCTCTGCAGCAGGGAGGAGGAAGGCTGAGGAGGATGGCTTGGCCGGCTCGCCGGCTGCTTGGCGTTTTCCCTGCTAACTCTTGGCTGACACCTCAACAACTTGGCAGGGAGAGGATCCCGCAGCCCCGTCAGCCGCCTGGGGCCGGCACAGCTGGAAGGGATCACGGCTCGGCACGGCTCGGCACGGCTTGGCACAGCCTCTGTGACCCGGCAGGCCAGCACGAGGCATGGGGCAGGGAGGGCACAGGCGTTCTCCACACCCTCCACCGTGCCTTGTCCCACTGCCACCCTGTGCCCAAGGGAAAGGCCAAGCCCAGCCGTGCCGGGGCCACATCCTGAGCCTACCGAGCCAAGGATGGCCGGACGCCGGCCAGGCGGGTCATTGCCTCAGGCTGGAGCCAAGGACACACATGACCCGGGAGGGGGCTGTCCCCACAGCACAAGGGACAGGACCCAGCACATTTTCCCATGCTCACAAGAAGCCACGAAACACCCACGAACACCCCAGTTCTGCTCCTTCTGTTTCCCGTTAAGATTATTTATTGGTAATTTTTAAGACCACTTACAGACTCTGTTCACGTGCCAGGACCCTACACGGCTTTTTCCCAGGGCTTTTTTTTTAATTATGAAAAAAAAACCCAAATTGTTTTAATCATTTTCTTTCCATTCCTTCCTTCCAGTCTCCTTTGGTTGCTAGCAGAAGACTTGCACATGGTGCAGCATCCGTCCTTGTCTGCCACCACCACAGCCCATGCTCCCTGCCCACTGCTGCTGGGGCTGCAGCCTCGCCCCTCATCAGGGCTGAGTGTCCCCACAGGGGGACAGGAGCCCCAGAAGCTGCCAGCCGGTTCTGGAAAAAGGGATCTGAGGGCCAGGGGCTGCCTTGGGGAGCAGGAGGCAGCTCTCTTGCAGATGCCTGGGAGCTGACATCGTCTTCGGCAGCACAGCCAGCGAGCAAATGCACCCACATCAATCACCCTATGCCTGTCTGCCATGTTGGGGGAGCAGAATCTGACCCAACACTGGACCAGGAGGCAAAAAACAGCTTTGGGTTATTAAACAAGACCAGGTCAATGCCTTGACTCAGTGTGGTCTGGGAAAGGCTGGATCTTCAGGGGAAATCTGATGGAAAGCAATGGTGGCCTTGCTGGTAGGGCTGGGGAAGGTGCCAGGGGCTGCATTGCTCCCACCAAGGGCTGCCCTGGCTGGAAACGCTGGCTCCTTTGGGAATGAGGAGAGCAAAGGACTGCGGCATGGCTGGAAGCGAGAGGCAGAGATGCCCCCATCCCTGCTAGCTTGCCTTACCCAGGTTTCGCTGGCCAACACCCCCGCCCAGTCCTGAAGCATCACAGATATTGATGCCTGTGCCCCACATGGCAGGTTACCCATGCCACTGCCCACCCAGCCCTTCATGCCACCTAAATCTGGCATTTTCAGCTGAGGAGACCCTTCACCCTGCCCCGGTCCCCCAGCAAGCCCAGCCCAGCTGCTGCCGAGCCCCCTCGCTGCCCCTCTCCCGCTTTGATCTCGCCCGGAGCCGGGGCCGGTATCGCTGCCGGGGCTGGGGGCCGCCCCGGGTGTCAGACTGGTTCAGCCACACATTTCTGCCTAATGAGAAATTTCCTCTCCCCGGCGCTCGGCCAGGTTTTTTTTTAGCTCCGGTATCGCTACCCCACCTCTGCCTCGGCCACGGCAGGCTGAGTCACGGGGGGCCCGGGCCGCACCGCACCGGCACCGAGCCTGCCAGCACCCCCTGCCCGTGCCTTCCCGGGAGCCCGGCACAACCAAAACTCCCATGACCCATCGTGCTGCGAGAGCCAAACATCCCAGAGTGATGCCCGAACCCGGGCGCTGCTCTGGAGCCGGGGCGGACGGGCTGAGCCTGGGGAGGGGTCGGTGAGAGCGGGGGGAGCTCGGCTGCCACAGCCTGCTGTGCCCTGTTGCAGTGTGTTTTTATTTTGCAGGTTATTGTTTGATTAGTTGTTTGGTAGTTTTTTGGGGTTTTTTCCCCCTGCTTTTGCCTCCACTGGTAGCTGGGATTCT